TATTCTGTCTGTTCAGGTGTGTTCAGATGGGCGTGCTCAGAAATCTTAAGCCCYGCTGTCAGAACTCTAGCTCTCACATTTATCACTTTTGTTTTCTAAGAAAAAGATAAAATCTGTGTTTTTGCATCACTCAGATGGGAGCTGAAAGTGAGAACCCTTTAGAGCCTTGAGCAGATACATGTTGTCTTTTTTGTTTTTCCTATTTCCTGCTGTCGTTAAGTGGTGACACGCCTAATCTGCAGGCCAAAGAATGTTATCAGGTAAACTCCAATGTGTTTGACGCACACACAAACACACAAACTTACACTTTCTGGTGATCACTGACTCGGTTTCTCAGCACTGTGATCTGTGCAAAGCATCAATTAAACAGATGACACATTAATTATGTTTTGTACCACTTTTAGATTCTAGGAATAAATACAAAAAAAACTATTTATGTTTTAAACGAAGGAAAAGTAGATTTATTTGTCAGGCTTTAAAATGACACTAAGCCACAGAAGAATGACAGACTTTAGGTAAAAAACAAGCTCTTCCAGAGAAGTGGCAGGTGGAATCTGTCTGATGGGCCTTTCAGATAACAAGTTGTAAATATTTCTGTGCTAGGGGAGGAATTTAAACAGATAAGCAAACTATTTAAGCCAGTTTTTTTTCTACAAAAAATTCTCTCTAAGGTAGTTTCCAAAACAGACTCGATGATGGGAAAATAACTAGAGAAAAACAAAAAATCATAAATAATTGGCTGTATATACAGTCCAGACCATAAGTTTGGACAGAACTTCTCATTCAACGAGTTTTTTTTTTTTAATTTCATGAAAACTGTAGATTCACACTGAAAGCATCAAAACTATGAATTAACAAGTGGAATTATATACTTAATTAACAAAAAAGTGTGAAACAACTGAAACTATGTCTTATATTCTTCAAAGTATCCACCTTTTGCTTTGATTACTGCTTCACACACTCTTAGCATACTCTTGATGAGCTTCAAGAGGTAATCACCTGAAATGGTCTTCCAACAGTCTTGAAGGAGTTCCCAGAGATGCTTTTGCCTTCACTCTGCAGTCCAGCTCACCCCAAACCATCTCGATTGTGGAGGCCAGGTGACTGTGGAGGCCAGGTCATCTGGCGCAGCACCCCATCACTCWCCYTCTTGGTCAAATARCCCTTACACAGCCTGGAGGTGTGTTTGGGGTCACTGTCCAGTTGAAAAATAAATGATGGTCCAACTAAACACAAACCGGATGGAATAGCATGCTGCTGCAAGATACTGTGGTAGCCATGCTGATTCAGTATGCTTTCGATTGTGAATAAATCCCCAACAGTGTGACCAGCAAAGCACCCCCACACCATCACACATCCTCCTCCATGCTTCATAGTGGGAACCAGGCATGTAGAGTCCATCCGTTCACCTTTGTGTCGCACAAAGACACTGTGGTTTCAACTGGCAGAGATTTCCACTGGTCTAATGTCCATTCCTTGTGTTCTTTAGCCCAAACAAGTCTCTTCTGTTTGTTGTCTGTCCTTAGCAGTGATTTCCTAGCAGCTATTTTACCACGAAGGCCTGATTCACTCAGTCTCCTCTTAACAGTTGTTCTAGAGATGTGTCTGCTGCTGGAACTCTGTGTGGCAATGACCTGTTCTTTAATCTGACCTGCTGTTAACCTGTCATTTCTGATGACCTGTTCTCTAATCTGACCTGCTGTTAACCTGTCATTTCTGATTCTGGTGACTCGGATGAACTTATCGTCCACAGCAGAGGTGACTCTTGGTCTTCCTTTCCTGGAGCGGTCCTCACGTGAGCCAGTTTCTTTGTAGCCCTTGATGGTCTTTGCGACTGCACTTGGAGACACTTTCAAAGTGTTCCCAATTTTTCGGACTGACTGACCTTTATTTCTTAAAGTAATGGTGGCCACTCGTTTTTCTTTACTTAGCTGCTTCTTTTCTTGTCATAATACAAGTTCTAACAGTCTGTTCAGTAGGACTATCAGCTGTGTACTGTTGTATCCACCTTCTGCACAACACAACTATTGGTCCCAACCCCATTTATAAGGCAAGAAATCCCACTTATTAAACCTGACAGGGCACACCTGTGAAGTGAAAACCATTCCAGGTGACTACCTCTTGAAGCTCAACAAGAGAAGGCCAAGAGTGTGTGAAGCAGTAATCAAAGCAAAAGGTGTATACTTTGAAGAACCTAGAATATAAGACACATTTTCAGTTGTTTCACACTTTTTAAGTATATAATTCCACATGTGTTAATTCATAGTTTTGATGTCTTCAGTGTGAATCTACAGTTTTCATAGTCATGAAAATAAAGAAAACTCTTTGAATGAGAAGGTGTGTCCAAACTTTTGGTCTGTACTGTATACTATATTGAAAATTCTGTACTCAGAAGTTTTTTCCCCCTGTTTAGATTTTGTTCAAGGAATTTTTGTTTGTTTGTTTGTTTGTTTTCTTTTTGCTGTTTAATGTTGAATTTCTGTACATTTTACCTCATACTTCTGCTTTGAGTACGTGTCCTGTAGTTCAAATTTCTCTGCCTCCAGCTGGCGCATCCAGTCCCACAGTTCCTTCGCTTTTTCTCTTTACGAAAAGAAAAAAAACAAAGGCAATCGATCTCACTTCATCTGGAATGAACCATAAATAAAAACATATCGCAGTGAAGCTTCTTTTGGCTTCAGGAGAGTTTGTTTTACCTGAGTTTGTCCTCTTTAAGGTGGTCAATGTTCAGCTCTTTGCGGCGGTCGTTCAGAACCGTCCTCTTCTTTTCTCTCTCTGTTTGCCTTTTTGTCCCAGGCTGGGTTTGCTGGGAAGCAATAAAGCATGAATAAATAAGCCTTTTATGCACATATTATTATTATTGGCATTTAAAATAGCTGGCAGGCGAAACACTAAATAGCATCAACAAACTGGCCAATATTTCAGTCCTCACAGGA